GGTTCCCAGAGCCATTCCCAGTGCAGGATCCCAGAGCCATTCCCAGTTTGGGATCCTGGAGCCGTTCCCAGTTTGGGTTCCCAGAGCCATTCCCAGTGCAGGATCCCAGAGCCATTCCCAGTTTGGGATCCCGGAGCCGTTCCCAGTTTGGGATCCCGGAGCCGTTCCCAGTTTGGGATCCCGGGGCCATTCCCAGTTTGGGATCCCGGGGCCATTCCCAGTTTGGGATCCCGGAGCCATTCCCAGTTTGGGATCCCGGAGCCATTCCCAGTTTGGGATCCCGGGGCCATTCCCAGTTTGGGATCCCGGGGCCATTCCCAGTTTGGGATCCCGGGGCCGTTCCCAGTTTGGGATCCCGGGGCCGTTCCCGGTTTCGGACCCCGGAGCCGTTCCCGGTGCCGTTCCCAGTTTGGGATCCCGGAGCCGTTCCCAGTTTGGGATCCCGGAGCCATTCCCAGTTTGAGATCCCGGGGCCGTTCCCAGTTTGGGATCCCGGGGCCGTTCCCGGTTTGGGACCCCGGAGCCATTCCCAGTTTGGGATCCCGGGGCCGTTCCCAGTTTGGGACCCCGGGGCCATTCCCAGTTTGAGATCCCGGGGCCGTTCCCAGTTTGGGATCCCGGGGCCGCTCCCGGGGCCGTTCCCGGTTTGGGATCCCGGAGCCGTTCCCAGTTTGGGATCCCGGGGCCATTCCCAGTTTGGGATCCCGGGGCCGTTCCCGGGGCCGTTCCCAGTTTGGGACCCCGTGGGCCGTTCCCAGTTTGGGATCCCGGGGCCGTTCCCAGTTTAGGATCCCGGAGCCGTTCCCAGTTTGGGATCCCGGGGCCGTTCCCAGTTTGGGATCCCAGAGCCGTTCCCAGTTTGGGATCCCGGGGCCATTCCCAGTTTGGGATCCCGGGGCCGTTCCCAGTTTGGGATCCCGGGGCCGTTCCCGGGGCCGTTCCCAGTTTGGGATCCCGGGGCCGTTCCCAGTTTGGGATCCCGGGGCCGTTCCCGGGGCCGTTCCCAGTTTGGGATCCCGGGGCCGTTCCCAGTTTGGGATCCCGGGGCCGTTCCCAGTTTGGGATCCCGGGGCCATTCCCAGTTTGGGACCCCGGGGCCATTCCCAGTTTGAGATCCCGGGGCCGTTCCCAGTTTGGGATCCCGGGGCCGCTCCCGGGGCCGTTCCCAGTTTGGGATCCCGGGGCCATTCCCAGTTTGGGATCCCGGGGCCGTTCCCAGTTTGGGATCCCAGAGCCGTTCCCAGTTTGGGATCCCGGGGCCGTTCCCAGTTTGGGATCCCGGATCCGTTCCCAGTTTGGGATCCCAGAGCCATTCCCAGTTTGGGATCCCGGGGCCACTCCCGGGGCCGTTCCCAGTTTGGGATCCCGGGGCCGTTCCCAGTTTGGGATCCCGGGGCCATTCCCAGTTTGGGTTCCCGGGGCCGTTCCCAGTTTGGGACCCCGGAGCCATTCCCAGTTTGGGATCCCGGAGCCATTCCCAGTTTGGGATCCCGGAGCCGTTCCCGGTTTGGGATCCCGGGGCCGTTCCCGGGGCCGTTCCCAGTTTGGGATCCCGGATCCGTTCCCAGTTTGGGATCCCGGGGCCGTTCCCAGTTTGGGATCCCGGAGCCGTTCCCAGTTTGGGATCCCGGGGCCGTTCCCGGTTTAGGACCCCGGGGCTGTTCCCGGGGCCGTTCCCGGTTTGGGATCCCGGAGCCATTCCCAGTTTGGGATCCCGGGGCCGCTCCCGGGGCCATTCCCAGTTTGGGATCCCGGGGCCGCTCCCGGGGCCGTTCCCGGTTTGGGACCCCGGAGCTGTTCCCAGTTTGGGATCCCGGGGCTGTTCCCGGTTTAGGACCCCGGAGCCGCTCCCGGAGCCGCTCCCGGAGCCGTTCCCGGTTTGGGACCCCGGGGCCGTTCCCGGTTTGGGATCCCGGAGCCGCTCCCGGGGCCGTTCCCAGTTTGGGATCCCGGAGCCGTTCCCGGTTTGGGACCCCGGAGCCGTTCCCGGGGCCGTTCCCGGGGGTCCCGCCGCCCCCGGCCCCGCCCGTTCCCCGCCGTTGGCTCCGCCCGGGGCAGCTCCGACCGGGGGCGGGCGGGGAACTGGAAAGGGAAGCGGCGGATGCTCCGCGCCGGTTCCGACCGGGACCGGCGGCTCCTACCGGCACCGGTACGAGGGCCTGGGGGGGGACCTGGAGGGGTCCGGGGGGGTCCCGGGGCAGCGGGAGCCCCGGGGCGGTGTCCCGGTACCGGGCGCGGCTGCGCGGGGCACCGGGCGGCGGCGGGCCGGTACCGGGGGAACTCTGGTACCGGGAATGGCCCCGGGACGGCACCGGGGCAACTCTGGTACCGGGAATGGCCCCGGGACGGCACCGGGGGCTCCGGGACGGTACCGGGGGAACTCTGGTACCGGGAATGGCCCCGGGACGGCACCGGGGGAACTCTGGTACCGGGAATGGCCCCGGGACGGTACCGGGGGAACTCTGGTACCGGGAATGGCCCCGGGACGGCACCGGGGCAACTCTGGTACCGGGAATGGCCCCGGGACGGCACCGGGGGCTCCGGGACGGTACCGGGGGAACTCTGGTACCGGGAATGGCCCTGGGACGGCACCGGGGGAACTCCGGTACCGGGAATGGCCCCGGGACGGTACCGGGGGAACTCTGGTACCGGGAATGGCTCCGGGACGGTACCGGGGCAACTCTGGTACCGGGAATGGCCCCGGGACGGCACCGGGGGAACTCTGGTACCGGGAATGGCCCCGGGACGGCACCGGGGGAACTCTGGTACCGGGAATGGCCCCGGGACGGCACCGGGAGCTCCGGGACGGGACCCGGGGAGGCTCCAGGACCGACACCGGGACCTGGGGGTGGCTGGCGGGACACCCACAGCCCTGGGTGACACCCTGGGGTGCCCAAAGGTGTCACCACCCATGGGGACAGGGCTGGGGGTGGCTGGGGGGACACGAGTGACACCCTGGGGTGCCCAAAGGTGTCAGTGGGTGTCACCACCCATGGGGACAGGGCTGGAGGTGGCTGGGGGGACATGAGTGTCACCCTGGGGTGCCCAAAGGTGTCAGTGGGTGTCACCACCCATGGGGACAGGGCTGGGGGGACATGAGTGACACCCCAGGGTGTTCCAAGGTGACAGTGGGTGTCACCACCCACGGGGACAGGGCTGGGGGTGGCTGCCAGCACAACCTGGGGGGACATAAGTGACACCCCGAGGTGTCCAAAGGTGACAGTGGGTGTCACCACCCATGGGGACAGGGCTGGGGGGACATGAGTGACACCCCGGGGTGCCCAAAGGTGTCACCACCCATGGGGACAGGACTGGGGGGACATGAGTGACACCCCGGGGTGCCCAAAGGTGTCACCACCCATGGGGACAGGACTGGGGGGACATGAGTGACACCCCAGGGTGTCCCAAAGGTGTCACCACCCATGGGGACAGGACTGGGGGATGGCTGGGGGGACACCCACAGCCGTGGCTGACACCCCGGGGTGCCCAAAGGTGTCACCACCCATGGGGACAGGGCTGGGGGGACATGAGTGACACCCTGGGGTGCCCCAAGGTGTCACCACCCATGGGGACAGGGCTGGGGGTGGCTGGGGGGACATAAGTGACACCCTGGGGTGTCCCAAAGGTGTCACCACCCATGGGGACAGGGCTGGGGGGACATGAGTGACACCCTGGGGTGCCCCAAGGTGTCACCACCCATGGGGACAGGGCTGGGGGTGGATGGGGGGACACGAGTGACACCCCAGGGTGCCCAAAGGTGACAGTGGGTGTCACCACCCATGGGGACAGGGCTGGGGGGACACGAGTTGCCCTGGGTGACACCCCGGGGTGTTCCAAGGTGACAGTGGGTGTCACCACCCACGGGGACAGGGCTGGGGGTGGCTGGGGGGACACGAGTGACACCCCAGGGTGCCCAAAGGTGACAGTGGGTGTCACCACCCACGGGGACAGGACTGGGTGTGGCTGGGGGGACATGAGTGACACCCTGGAATGTCCAAAGGTGTCACCTGGGTGGTCCTGGGTGACACCCCAGGGTGTTCCAAGGTGACAGTGGGTGTCACCACCCATGGGGACAGGACTGGGGGATGGCTGGGGGGACATGAGTGACACCCTGGGGTGTCCCAAGGTGTCACCACCCATGGGGACAGGACTGGGGGGTGGCTGGGGGGACATGAGTGACACCCTGGGGTGTCCCAAGGTGTCACCACCCATGGGGACAGGACTGGGGGGTGGCTGGGGGGACATGAGTGACACCCTGGGGTGCCCAAAGGTGTCACCACCCATGGGCACAGGGCTGGGGGTGGCTGCCAGCACAACCTGGGTGGCCCTGGGTGACACCCCAGGGTGTTCCAAGGTGACAGTGGGTGTCACCACCCATGGGGACAGGACTGGGGGATGGCTGGGGGGACACCCACGGCCCTGGGTGACACCCCGGGGTGTCCCAAAGGTGTCACCACCCATGGGGACAGGGCTGGGGGTGGCTGCCAGCACAACCTGGGTGGCCCTGGGTGACACCCCAGGGTGTTCCTGGGTGACACCCCGGGGTGCCCACAGCGTGACACACAGGGCACGACCCCGACCATCACCCTGGGGCGTCCCTGGTGGCACCGAGATGCCCAGAAGATGCCATTACCACCCCCAGGAACCATGTCCCGGCGGCGCTGAGCCTCCGTCGTCACCGTCACCGTCACCATGGGGAGCATCTACAAGGAATACTTCAACCGCGACAAGATCCGCGAGCACTACAACTTCACCAAGGGCGCCGGCGGCGAGGCGGCGGCACCGTCGCGCTGGGTGGGCTCCGTCCTCATCGTCCTCCTGTGCTGCGTCATCGTCCTGGAGAACCTCCTGGTGCTGGTGTCCATCTGCCGCAACAAGCGCCTCCACCTCGCCATGTACATCTTCATCGGCAACTTGGCCGCATCCGACCTGTTGGCCGGCGCGGCGTTCATGGTGAACACGTTGTTGTCCGGCAGCACCACCTTCAGCCTGACGCCGGTGCAGTGGTTCGTGCGCGAGGGGACGGCGTTCGCCACCTTGGCCGCCTCGGTGTTCAGCCTGTTGGCCATCGCCATCGAGCGGCACGTGGCCATCACCAAGGTGAAGGTGTACGGCAGCGATAAGAACTGCCGGATGGTGCTGTTGATCGGCGCTTGTTGGGTCATCGCCGGCGCCGTCGGCAGTTTGCCGATCATGGGTTGGAACTGCATCAGCGATTTGGGCGATTGTTCCACCGTGTTGCCGCTCTACTCCAAGCGTTACGTGCTCTTCGTCACCACCATCTTCACCCTCATCCTGGCCGCCATCGTGGGGCTCTACACGCGCATCTACTGCATCGTCCGCTCCAGCCACGCCGAGATCGCCTCGGCGCAGACTTTGGCGCTGCTCAAAACCGTCACCATCGTGTTGGGCGCCTTCATCGTCTGCTGGTCTCCCGCCTTCATCATCCTCCTGATGGACGCCTCGTGCCCGGCGCGCGCCTGCCGCGTGTTGTACAGCGCCAATTATTTCTTCGCCTTCGCCGCGCTCAACTCGGCGGCCAACCCGGTGATCTACGTGTTGCGCAGCCAGGACATGCGCGCCGAGTTCCTGCGCGTGCTCTGCTGCCGCCGGCGCCGACCGCGGCGCCCCGGCCGGCCGGGGGTCCCGCTGCGCACGTCCAGCTCGATGGACAAGGCCCCGGCCGGCCCCGCGGCCGAGCTCGGCACGGCGCCGCTGACCCGCGAGGGCACCACGTCCGTCTGAGCCCGGCGGCGCCCAGGGGGGTGGTTGGGTGCTGGTTGGGTGGTGGTTGGGTGGTCGTTGGGTGGTCGTTGGGTGGTGGTGCTGGTTGGGTGGTGGTTGGGTGGTGGTTGGGTGGTGGTTGGGTGGTGGTTGGGTGCTGGTTGGGTGCTGGTTGGGTGCTGGTTGGGTGCTGGTTGGGTGGTCATTGGGTGGTGGTTGGGTGCTGGTTGGGTGCTGGTTGGGTGCTGTAAGTGGTGGTTGGGTGCTGGTTGGGTGCTGGTTGGGTGGTCATTGGGTGGTCGTTGGGTGGTGGTTGGGTGCTGGTTGGGTGCTGGTTGGGTGCTGGTTGAGTGGTCGTTGGGTGGTCGTTGGGTGCTGGTTGGGTGGTCGTTGGGTGCTGGTTGGGTGCTGGTTGGGTGCTGGTTGGGTGCTGGTTGGGTGCTGGTTGGGTGGTGGTTGGGTGGTGGTTGGGTGCTGGTTGGGTGGTGGTTGGGTGCTGGTTGAGTGGTGGTTGGGTGCTGGTTGGGTGGTGGTTGGGTGCTGGTTGGGTGCTCATTGGGTGCTGGTTGGGTGGTGGTTGAGTGCTATTTGGGTGCTGGTTGGGTGCTGGTTGGGTGCTGGTTGAGTGGTGGTTGGGTGGTGGTTGGGTGCTGTAAGTGGTGGTTGGGTGCTGGTTGGGTGGTGATTGGGTGCTGGTTGGGTGCTGGTTGGGTGCTGTAAGTGGTGGTTGGGTGCTGGTTGGGTGGTGGTTGGATGCTGGTTGGGTGGTGGTTGGGTGCTGGTTGGGTGGTGGTTGGGTGCTGGTTGGGTGCTGGTTGGGTGCTGGTTGAGTGGTGGTTGAGTGCTGGTTGGGTGCTGTTGAGTGGTGGTTGGGTGGTGGTTGGGTGCTGGTTGGATGCTGGTTGGGTGGTGGTTGGGTGCTGGTTGGATGCTGGTTGGGTGGTGGTTGGGTGCTGGTTGGGTGGTCGTTGGGTGGTCATTGGGTGGTCGTTGGGTGGTGGTTGGGTGGTGGTTGAGTGGTGGTTGAGTGGTGGTTGGGTGGTGGTTGAGTGGTGGTTGAGTGGTGGTTGAGTGGTCATTGGGTGGTGGTTGGGTGGTCGTTGGGTGGTGGTTGGGTGGTCGTTGGGTGCTGGTTGGGTGCTGGTTGGGTGGTGGTTGGGTGCTGGCTGGGTGCTGGTTGAGTGGTGGTTGAGTGCTGGTTGGGTGGTGGTTGGGTGGTCATTGGGTGGTGGTTGGGTGCTGGTTGGATGCTGGTTGGGTGGGGTTGGGTGGTCATTGGGTGGTCGTTGGGTGGTCGTTGGGTGCTGGTTGGGTGCTGGTTGGGTGCTGGTTGGGTGCTGGTTGAGTGGTGGTGCTGGTGTGCGGTTTGCGGGCAAGGGTGGACATGGCACGGACACGTGGACACCTCATGGACACCCCACGGCCTCGTGGACACCCTGTGGCCACCCCAAGGTCACCCATGGCCACCCCACGGCCTCGTGGACACCCCAAGGCCACCCCAAGGCCACCCCAAGGCCACCCATGGCCACCCCATAGGACACCCCACGGCCTCAGGGTCACCCTGTGGACACCCCAAGGCCACCCCAAGGCCACCCCATGGACACCCCATAGGACACCCCACGGCCTCAGGGCCACCCTGTGGACACCCCATGGCCTTGTGGACACCCCATGGCCACCACAAGGTCACCCATGGACACCCCACGGCCTCGTGGACACCCCAAGGCCACCCACGGCCACCCCATGGCCACTCATGGCCACCCCACGGCCTCATGGACACCCCAAGGCCACCCATGGCCACCCCATGGCCACCCCACGGCCTCGTGGACACCCCACGGCCACCCCAAGGTCACCCATGGACGCCCCATGGCCACTCATGACCACTCCAAGACCACCCATGGCCACCCCATAGGACACCCCACGGCCTCAGGGTCACCCTGTGGACACCCCAAGGCCACCCCAAGGCCACCCCAAGGACACCCATGGCCACCCCATAGGACACCCCACGGCCTCAGGGTCACCCTGTGGACACCCCAAGTCTACCCCATGGCCACCCATGGTCACCCATGGACACCCCAAGGCCACCCCATGGCCACCCATGGCCACCCCACGGCCTCGTGGACACCTCAAGGCCACCCATGGACACCCCATGGCCTCGTGGACGCCCCATGGCCATTCACGACCACACCAAGGCCACCCATGACTACCCCAAGGTCACCCATGGACACCCATGGCCACCCCATAGGACACCCCACGGCCTCAGGGTCACCCTGTGGACACCCCAAGGCCACCCATGTCCACCCCAAGGCCACCCAAGGCCACCCCAAGGCCACCCACGGCCACCCCACGGTACGAGCGGCGCGGTTCCCTCGCGGTTCCCTCGCGGTTCCCCAGGTACGGACGCACACCCGGCCCTGCCGGGGCTGTCCCGGTGTTGTCCCGGTGTTGTCCCGGTGTTGTCCCGGTGTTGTCCCGGTGTTGTCCCGGGGCTGTCCCGGTGTTGTCCCGGTGTTGTCCCGGGGCTGTCCCGGTGTTGTCCCGGTGTTGTTGTCCCGGTGTTGTCCCGGTGTTGTCCCGGGGCTGTCCCGGTGTTGTCCCGGTGTTGTCCCGGTGTTGTTGTCCCGGTGTCCCCCCCCCGAGGCCGCTGCTGGACCTGTGGGTGGGTCCCACCAGGGCAAACCGGGAAAAACCGGGATAAACTGGGATAAACTGGGATAAACTCCGGGATAAACCGGGATAAACCCCGGGATAAACCCCAGGATAAACCCAGAAAACTGGGAAAAACCCCGGGACAAACCGGGATAAACCCCAGGATAAACTGGGATAAACTGGGATAAACTCCGGGATAAACCCCAGGATAAACTGGGATAAACTGGGATAAACTGGGATAAACTGGGATAAACCCCAGGATAAACTGGGATAAACTGGGATAAACCCCAGGATAAACCAGGATAAACCCCGGGATAAACTGGGATAAACCCTGGGATAAACCCAGATAAACCGGGATAAACCGGTATAAACCCCGGGATAAACCCAGAAAACTGGGAAAAACCCCGAGACAAACCGGGATAAACCCCAGGATAAACTGGGATAAACCCAAATAAACTGGGATAAACCTTGGGATAAACCGGGATAAACCCAGAAAACCGGGATAAACCCCGGGATAAACCGGGATAAACCCCAGGATAAACTGGGATAAACCCCAGGATAAACCGGGATAAACCCCAGGATAAACCGGGATAAACTGGGATAAACCCCGGGATAAACCCAGAAAACCGGGATAAACCGGTATAAATCCTGGGATAAACCCCGGGATAAACCCAGAAAACCGGGATAAACCTTGGGATAAACCAGGATAAACCGGGATAAACCTTGGGATAAACCGGGATAAACCCAGAAAACCGGGATAAACCCCAGGATAAACCAGGATAAAACCCGGGATAAACTGGGATAAACCTTGGGATAAACCGGGATAAACCCAGAAAACCGGGATAAACCCCGGGATAAACCCAAATAAACTGGGATAAACCTTGGGATAAACCGGGATAAACCCAGAAAACCGGGATAAACCCCAGGATAAACCGGGATAAACCCCGGGATAAACCGGGATAAACCCCAGGAAGGCTCTGGGGACCCCCCAAAATTCCGGTTTTTCCCCCGCGCTGGCGCGTGGGGCTGGGGGTTCATCCCAGCGCGGCCGGATCCGCCGGGAACCCCCAAAATCTCCGGGATTTGCCCCAAAATCCTCCTCTTGTTGTATTAAATGAATTTTTGTTGTTTTTTTCCAGCTGTTTCTGTGTTTTTCCCCCAAATTTTGGGTGGGGAGGTGGGAATCTTTCCCCAAATTTTGGGTGGGGAGGTGGGAATCTTTCCCAAAATTTTGGGTGGGGAGGTGGGAATCTTTCCCAAAATTTTGGGTGGGATTTTCCTGGTGGGAATCTTCCCCCAAATTTTGGGTGGGATTTTCCTGGTGGGAATCTTCCCCCAAATTTTGGGTGGGATTTTCCCCGCTGGGAATCTTCCCCCAAATTTTGGGTGGGATTTTCCTGGTGGGAATCTTTCCCCAAATTTTGGGTGGGATTTTCCTGCTGGGAATCTTCCCCCAAATTTTGGGTGGGATTTTCCTGGTGGGAATCTTCCCCCAAATTTTGGGTGGGTTTTTCCTGCTGGGAATCTTCCCCAAATTTTGGGTGGGATTTTCCTGGTGGGAATCTCCCCCCAAATTTTGGGTGGGATTTTCCTGGTGGGAATCTCCCCCCAAATTTTGGGTGGGATTTTCCTCGCTGGGAATCTTCCCCCAAATTTTGGGTGGGATTTTCCTGGTGGGAATCTTCCCCCAAATTTTGGGTGGGATTTTCCTGGTGGGAATCTCCCCCCAAATTTTGGGTGGGATTTTCCCCGCTGGGAATTTTCCCCCAAATTTTGGGTGGGATTTTCCTCGCTGGGAATCTTCCCCCAAATTTTGGGTGGGATTTTCCCCGCTGGGAATTTTCCCCCAAATTTTGGGTGGGATTTTCCTGGTGGGAATCTTCCCCCAAATTTTGGGTGGGATTTTCCTGGTGGGAATCTTCCCCCAAATTTTGGGTGGGATTTTCCTGGTGGGAATTTTCCCCCAAATTTTGGGTGGGATTTTCCTGGTGGGAATCTCCCCCCAAATTTTGGGTGGGATTTTCCTGGTGGGAATCTTTCCCCAAATTTTGGGTGGGATTTTCCTGGTGGGAATCTTTCCCCAAATTTTGGGTGGGATTTTCCTGGTGGGAATCTTCCCCCAAATTTTGGGTGGGGAGGTGGGAATCTTTCCCCAAATTTTGGGTGGGATTTTCCTGGTGGGAATCTCCCCCCAAATTTTGGGTGGGATTTTCCTGGTGGGAATCTTCCCCCAAATTTTGGGTGGGATTTTCCTGGTGGGAATCTCCCCCCAAATTTTGGGTGGGGAGGTGGGAATCTCCCCCCAAATTTTGGGTGGGATTTTCCTGGTGGGAATCTTCCCCCAAATTTTGGGTGGGATTTTCCCCGCTGGGAATCTTCCCCCAAATTTTGGGTGGGATTTTCCTGGTGGGAATCTTTCCCCAAATTTTGGGTGGGATTTTCCTGGTGGGAATCTTCCCCCAAATTTTGGGTGGGATTTTCCTGGTGGGAATCTTTCCCCAAATTTTGGGTGGGATTTTCCTGGTGGGAATCTTCCCCCAAATTTTGGGTGGGATTTTCCTGGTGGGAATCTTTCCCCAAATTTTGGGTGGGATTTTCCTGGTGGGAATCTCCCCCCAAATTTTGGCTGGGGAGGGATTTTCCCGCTGGGAATTTGGGAAAAAAACCCGATTTTCCCCGATTTCCTCGCTGGAGGAGGACGAGGAAATTTGGGGGGGGGGGGGTTCGGTTTCTGTCCCCGGGGTGACCCCAGCGGGAGGGGGCTGCCCCCCCTCAATCCCCCCATCATTCCCATGAGGACAGACCCCAAAGTGTCTCCCCCATCCCAAATTTGGGCTGTGTCCCCCCCATTTTGGGAGTGTCCCCACAATCTCCTGTGTCCCCCCCCCCCCCCCCCCAATTTTTGGATTGTCCCCGCCACCCCCAAGATGGCGCCGGGGGTCCCATCCCCACGCGCTGTCGCTCTGAGTGACGTCACATCCACCCGCCACACCCAAGATGGCGCCCGCGCTGTTAACAGCGCTCTTTGACCTTCTCAACATGGCGGCGCGGCCGGGACGGTTTTGGCGCCTATGAGTGACGCACTACGGAAGGCGGGATGGGCCGAAAGGGGCCATGACCGCGCGGGGGCCGCGGCCGCCGCCAGGGCCGGAACGGGGCGAAACCGGCGGCCGGTGAGGGGGGGGAGGGGCGGAACCGGGGGGGCTTTACCGGATTTGGGGGGGGGGGGCCGGGGGGGATTTACCGGGCCTGGGGGGCCGGGGGGAGCGGAGGTTATGGGGGAGGGGCGGGTCTGAGGGCAACGGGGCGCGGGGGGGGCAATAACGGCACCGGGGGGGGGGCAATAACGGCACCGGGGGGGGGCAATAACAGCATGGGGGGGGCAATTAATGAGCGGGTAATTAAGATATGAAGGGGAAAATAATTAATGAGAGGGTAATAAGGGCCTGGGGTGGGTAATTAATGAGAGGGTAATAATGGCCTGGGGGGGCAATAAGGGCCTGGGGGGGTAATTTGTAATTTTTTCCCCGTTTTTCCTGTTTCCCCCCATTTTCCCCCCCGTGTTTCTCCCCTTTTTCCCCATTTTTCCCCCGGTTTTCCCCATATTTTCCCCCCATTTTCCTCCATCTTTTCCCCAATTTTTCCTCCATTTTTCCCCTTTCTCCCCCTCTGTTTCCCCCATTTCCCCCCGTTTTACCCCCCCTTTTTTCCCTCTTTTTTCCCCGTTTTTTTATGCCCCGTTTTTTTATCCTGTTTCCCCATATTTTCTCCCCGTTTCCCCCCATTTCCCCCCGTTTTCCCCCATTTTTCCCCATTTCCCCCCATTTTTCCCCATTTCCCCCCATTTTTCCCCATTTCCCCCATTTTTTTCCCCATTTCCCCCATTTTTCCCCTTTTTCCCCCCTTTTTTTCCCCTTCTTTTTTCCCCATTTCCCCCCATTTTTCCCCATTTTTCCCCATTTCCCCCATTCCCCCCATTTTTTCCCCATTTTCCCCCATTTTTCCCCATTTCCCCCCATTTTTTCCCCATTTCCCCCCATTTCCCCCCATTTTCCCCCATTTCCCCCCATTTTTTCCCCATTTCCCCCCATTTTTCCCCATTTCCCCCCATTTTTCCCCATTTCCCCCCATTTTCCCCCCATTTTTCCCCATTTCCCCCATTTCCCCCATTTTTCTCCCATTTCCCCTCATTTGCCCCCTTTTCCCCCATTTCCCCCCATTTTTCCCCATTTTTCCCCATTTCCCCCCATTTCCCCCATTTTTCCCCATTTCCCCCATTTTTTCCCCATTTCCTCCCGTTTTTCCCCCATTTTTTCCCCATTTCCCCCCTTTTTTCCCCATTTCTCCCCATTTTCCCCCCATTTTTCCCCATTTCCCCCCATTTTCCCCCATTTTTCCCCATTTCCCCCATTTTTTCCCCATTTCCCCCATGTTTTCCCCATTTCCCCCATTTCTCCCCATTTTCCCCATTTTTCCCCATTTCCCCCCATATTTTCTCCATTTCTCCCCATTTCCCCCATTTTCCCCCCATTTCCCCCCATTTTCCCCATTTCCCCCATTTTTCCCCATTTTTCCGCATTTTTTCCCCATTTCCCCCCATTTTTTCCCCATTTCCCATTTTCCCCCCATTTCCCCCATTTTTCCCCATTTCCCCCATTTTTCCCCCATTTCCCCCATTTTTCCCCATTTCCCCCATTTCCCCCATTTTCCCCATTTCCCCCCATTTCCCCCATTTTTCCCCATTTTTCCCCCATTTTTCCCCATTTCCCCCCATTTTCCCCCCATTTCCCCCCATTTTCCCCATTTCCCCCCATTTTTTCCCCATTTTTCCGCATTTTTTCCCCATTTCCCCCCATTTTTTCCCCATTTCCCATTTTCCCCATTTCCCCCCATTCCCCCCATTTTTTCCCCATTTTTCCCCATTTTCCCCCAATTTTCCCCATTCCCCCCATTTTTTCCCCAATTTTATCCCATTTTCCCCCATTTCCCCCATTTTTCCCCCATTTCCCCCATTTTTTCCCCATTTCCCCCCATTTTTTCCCCATTTTCCCCCATTATTCCCCCATTTTTCCCCCATTTTTTCCCCATTTTTCCCCATTTCCCCCATTTTTTCCCCATTTCCCCCCATTTTTCCCCCATTTCCCCCCATTTTTCCCCATATTTCCCCCCCATTTCCCCCATTTTTCCCCATTTCCCCCCTTTTCTCCCATTTTCCCCCCCATTTTTCCCCATTTTCCCCATTTTTCCCCATTTCCCCCATTTTTTCACCATTTCCCCCATTTTCCCCCATTTTCCCCCTGTTTCCCCCCGTTTTCCCCATTTTTTCCCCATTTCCCCCATTTTTCCCCATTTCCCCCCGTTTTCCCCCATTTTTTCCCCATTTCCCCCCATTTTTCCCCCATTTTTCCCCATTTTTCCCATTTTTCCCCCATTTTTTCCCCATTTTTCCCCATTTTTTCCCCATTTCCCCCATTTTTTCCCCATTTTCCCCATTTTTCCCCATTTTTCCCCATTTCCCCATTTCCCCCCATTTCCCCCCATTTTTCTCCGTTTTCCCCCTTTTCCCCCCATTTTTCCCCCATTTTCCCCATTTTCCCCCATTTTTTCCCCATTTTTCCCCATTTTTCCCCCCATTTTTCCCCATTTTTCCCCATTTCCCCATTTTCCCCCATTTTTTCCCCATTTCCCCCATTTTCCCCCATTTTCCCCATTTCTCCCCATTTTCCCCCCATATTTCCCCATTTCCCCCCCATTTTTTCCCCATTTTCCCCCCATTTTTCCCCATTTCCCCCATTTTTCCCCATTTCCCCCATTTTCCCCATTTTCCCCATTTCCCCCCATTTCCCCCCATTTCCCCCATTTCCCCCATTTCCCCCCATTTTCCCCATTTTTCCCCCCATTTTTCCCCATTTCCCCCCATTTCCCCCCATTTTTTCCCATTTCCCCACATTTTTCCCCATTTTCCCCCATTTTCCCCCTGTTTTTCCCCCCTTTTTCCCCATTTCCCCCATTTTTCCCCCATTTCCCCCCATTTTTCCCCATTTTTTCCCCATTTTCCCCCATTTTTCCCCATTTCCCCCCCATTTTTTCCCCATTTTTTCCCCATTTTTCCCCATTTTTCCCCATTTCCCC